CAGCTTTATCTTTAAAGTAAGGTGCTACTTTGCCTAAGTTTTAAAATACAGAACATGATACAGCTTCCAAGAAAGCAAACATCATCAAACGTAAGCGTGCATTATATACACAGACAAACAGATGAACTTGTGAAGTTTAGATGAAACAGGATGTCTATTTCTTCACTTACATATACAAAGGAAAAAGAATCTGCTCCCTCCAAGCCCAGTTATCTCAAGCTGTCATCTGCTACGAACTGAGCATCGCTTGCAATCTCCGTTTCACGAAATACTCCCTAAACTGATTGCTCTTCCACTCTGCACTGAAAACCTCCTGGCGTCACCACCCTCTTCTCCACCCTGCACTTCCACAGAGCCCCACACTTTACAATATTACATAATGACAAGATTCCTCTGCCACTATATGTTGAAAAAAAAATGCATTCAGGGAAATCCGACATCACTAGGAAATAGGGCAGAAATCAAACATTTTCCAGAAGCATTCTGCTGCAAAAGTCTTACAGCTATTTATAAGAAAGAGAATGTTTTGGGTTTTTTTTTTTAAAGGAAGATATGCAATTTTTTCCTGGCTTTCATTCTCATGATTGTTACAGTAATCATTTTCTAGTTCCCCCCATCACATACACACACACACACACACACACACACTCCCTCCCTGCTGAAGATGGGTCATACCAAATTGCTCTAATGGGCACTTTCCAAGAAAACGGCAATCATTTGTAGAAATTGTAGGGTTATCAAACACCTGCTATAGTTGGAGGTTCACCCAAGTGGAACCACTTCTCCACTCTTAGATGTCTCTATGTGTCCTACTGAAAGTATTTACATTATCTAAGTAAGACAAAGGATTCTAATATTAACCATAATACATTGTGAGCAATCCTACCAAGCTTCCTTGTGCACCCATGCATGCACACACACACACAATCACATGACTTTTGAAGAAAAGAATTAAAGGTAGGGCTTTGTCTATCTTTTTTCCTACTATTTCTTCCAATGACACTGGCCAACTCAATGTAAAGGAAAAGCATTTGAAGCCAGCTTACTGTTTATATCCATTTAATCAAAACCATTTTTTTAAAGTATAGCCATTCATCTGAACTTGTTATTAATACTAGACTTATAGAACAAAGCACAAAGGGACTTGAAATTTTTGAAATAAAACTCATTTCCTTCCATCTTCAAATTATACATTGACTTATATGCATGTTGCAGATGTTATTATTATTATTATTATTATTANTGTCTTGAGGGCACGGCGGAAGGAGGGGAGATCCGGAATAATCCGGATCTCTGGGGGGAGTTCGTTCCACAGGGTGGGGGCTCCCACAGAGAAGGCCCTCCCCCTGGGGGTCGCCAGCCGACACTGTTTGGCCGACGGCACCCTGAGGAGGCCCGCTCTGTGGGAGCGTACCGGTCGATGGGAGGCAATCTGCGGCAGAGGCAACAGGACACACATAATGCAACAATCTCCATTTTAATTTAAGCAAGGAACCATGGATAAAGAATAGATTGTGACTTCCTTTTAGATAGTGAGAGAAGTTCCAACAGATTATTAAAAGTGACGATGGAGAGCAATGCATTGAGATTTTCATGGCATAAGGGTGTGGAACTTAGTTTGAGCACTGATCCTAAAAGAAACACAGAACTATTTTAAATCCATGAGAGGAGATCCAAGGCTGATCACAGATAATTTTAAGTAAAAGATATGCAGATGCGGGAAGTCAGTACCAAAGTGAGTAGTGGAACTTCAAAATGTACCTAGATGAAGAATCTGAGTATTGTACCAATCACTTTCCCAATAAAAGAAACTAGTGATGTCTACTGGCCAGCAATCAGATCCCACTTTAGCTTATTTCAGAGTGGTGGCATATTAGGGCACTGGAGAAAAGACAAAAAGGGTGAAGGAATGGAAGTTGATAGGAAGCAGGTGGGCATCTGAACATTTACTGAGCACTCAAAATATGGGCATCCTCTTTATCCACCAAAAATTTGCTCCAGTCAAGCACATCTATAAACCACCTACAGAACTATTGAGAAGGAACATTTTGACCAGCTAAAGCAGAGCTTAACCAAAAGCCTAGATGTCTAAAACGCAAGCGGAATTACAGAATTGATGCGACAGCCATGGTATCTCTCATTAGACGTCCTTTATTTTTATCTTCATGTAATGCATTCATTTCTGCTGCTCTTTCTGGGTTACTTTCCCAAAGTAAGCAATCAGCTGCATCATTTTTTTTTAACTTAAAAAGCACAAAAAGTATATGTTATGCTTATAACCCTCGGGATATAAATGCTACTATCTTTTCCTCAAACGAGTTTTTTATATTCAGTAACTCTGAACTGGAAAAAAGAAAACAGCACACACACCCCTCCCCCATACATACACAAAGAGAGTCCTTGTTTCAAAATGACTTTGACTTCATTAAAGAGACAGGCACAGAAGAAGAAAAAATAGTAAAAAATGTAGGCATTTCCATCATCTTTCAACTGAATTAATTCCTCTGCAATGCGAACTGGTACCCAACCTTATTTGCTCTCATATCTATCTGGACTGTATCAAAATGGCAAGGACAAACTGACCATTGTTAACAGCAGACCATTACAAACTACATTTTAAAATGTGGATTTGCTTTGTCATGCAAGAATAATGATCTTAGCATAAGCAGATCACTACGACTACTTTGCCATAGCTTAAAATTCATGCAAATATTTTGTCATGGTTTCCATTATAGTAGGATTCAAAATCTATGAATATTAAGAAAAATGTAAAATAAAGATGGCTTATTAAATACATACATATATGTAGCTAAATCCTTTCCCCTGATTTATCTGAATGGTGGAATACTTTTTGACTCATATTTCTTTTTATTTGATTGCAGAAAAACCTAACACAAAAGTTAAATAATTGTTTATTGATGCCACTGGATAGAATCCAAGGAATTCTGCTTCATTGATTCAGTCAATTCTCCTGTCTTCCCCTGAGCTTACACTTGTTTCTGTAGTTTCCTTCTTATTATAGTTGACATACATTAACAGCTTTTGGTGGTGCATTTAATATATAATATATTAAGTTGCATCACATACATCAAAATTTCAGATACATTTTTCAAGAAGTAGCTTCTTTTATATGTTCTTTTTAAGATGTAGATTCTACTCCACATCTTTTTTCCTAGCAGGCCTACAGCCACCCTTATGAATTGAGTGCCAAAAATAACTCCATGACTGCTTTCCACCGGTAGGGATGATGATGATGATGGAGTTATTTCAAATCCTTCAGAAATACTGGTACACATGTGGAGAAAACCGTTCTTAGATAAGTGGAGTCAATTAAATCAAGTTGATTTATAGACATAGAAGGTCAAACGTTGTTATCTTATAAGAACAATACTACAGATTTGCAATGGGAAATCTTTGTTGGCATCTGGCATTCACAAACTGTCCCCTCCCCTTGATTTGTGAGAGAAGTTTTCCTTTCTGATTTATTGTTTTACTGTTTTTTCCCTCTCTTTTTGATTTCTGAAGTAAAACAGGTGACAGAACTAACCTGAGCACTGCTATACATTAGTAGCATGAAATCTTTTATTTATGAATATGTATGTTTACATCATCCTTCATTTGATTCCACACATGGAATTTTAATGACTGGCTTTTTGGCTAATGTGTGTTTAAGTTTAAATATGTGAACTGCTTCCTGATCCCCTTTACAATTAATGTGAAATAGCACAATACTGTTCTTCTTCCTCTAGTAGAAACCTTAATCATTTTTTAAATGTAGTGCATTCCCAGGTGTTTAATTAATTTCCTTATAGGGAATTCCTTTGTTGTTGTTGTTGTTGTTGTTGTTTTTGTTGCTGTTCCATCAGTTTTAAGTATAATGGAGAAGAAAGAAACAGAACCTGACATGCAACAAGGACTCTTTTTTCATTGATGGTGATGATATTTTCGCAACATTGATGTATGCAAAAAAGCAGTAACTGAATCTGAGCTTTAAAAATAAATCGTTTTTTCCAGCACAATTAACACAAAAACAACATAGTGTTAACAATAATTTAAAAAAACAGGTGTAAATAAGCAAGGAGTCTGTTCTTAGTCAGTCAGCAGCAGCCTTGTGATTTTAAAGCATTTGCAATTAATAAGCAGTGTGTTATTAGTTAGAACATACTAGCCCAAAACTTCTGTAGCTTATCATCTATATTCAATTCTACAATTTATTTATTAAATTTTTATTCCACCTTCATTTACTTTTATAAAATAAGTCAAGGCAGAAAACATACCTAATATTCCCTCCTCTTTCTATTTTCCTTACAAATACAACCCTATGAGATGGACTGGGCTGAGAGAGAGCAAATGGCCCAGAGTCAGCCATCTGACTTTCATGCCTAAGGCAGGACTAGAACTCACAGTCTCTTAAGTTTCTAAACCAGCACCTTAACCACTACATCAAACTTGTATTACTTATACAATACTGAGCTTAAAACAGCATATATAATGCCTCCTCCTCCTATTTTCCTTCATAATGACAACTTTGTGAGGTAGGCTGGCTGAGAAAGAATGGCCCAAGTTCAACCAATGAACTTTCGTGGCTGAGGATGGAATAGTACTGGGTTTCCCTGTTTCTTATTACACCCCATTGGCCTTGAACAAGTCAAAGAGATATATAAGAGCCATGGTGTTACAGTGGCTAGAATGCAGTACCAACTGCAAGCCGATTCTGACTGGCTCAAAGTTGCCTCAGCCTTCCATCCTTCCGAGGTCGGTAAAACGAGGACCCAGATTGTTGGAGACAATGTGCTGAGTCTGTAAACCACTTAGAGAGGGCTGTAAGAGCACTATGGAACAATATAAGTACTATTGCTATATATGTAACTGTATCCATGGATATGCATATGGATGTATGTCTGCATGTACAAATATAGTGCAACTCCATCAACAAAAGCAATCCACGTGCCTTCCATATCTCTCTACTCTCTGCATTAACTTTTAAGCAGTGCTCTTACCCTGAATGGTAAATCAAGTTTCTCCTTCTCTGGCAACTGGTCCAGCATGCCATCTGTGTTGCTCCTTTTTAGACTTCCATTAACATCAGGCACATGGTTGAAATCTATATTAAAAAGAAAAGCCAAAAAGCTAGATATCAGAAGAAGAAATATGTATTTTCTTTCATTTAGATATAATTGTTTCACTGAAGTTTCAGGAAACGTAGACTCCTGAAGATCTGCTTGGCTTTTCCAGCTAAAATAATTCCATGCAAAGTAATACAAATATTTGGTCTGCTACTTCAAAGCTTGCCTTCCTCAACATCATCTGTCTACAATGTGGTACAGTGTGTGCTGGCTGAAGAAAACATCCAATACAAATGTCTGCATAATACATATAAAATGATTTTCTTGGATGAACACATTGTCTTAAAACTTACTGTGGTTCTTAAACTTATTAATGGCCCAAAAGAAGGGAGAAGAGAACCTTGGCTTCCTTCTTTGTATTACTGCTTTGTTTATGTAGCAGCAATTAGGATAAAATCTAAAGAAAAATAATATTTTGCCAATATGTATATATATATATATAGTCCTTGACCGATGATTGTAAGGGAACTTGCCTATTACAGTCGTAAGTCATGATGGTCATAAAGCAGATCATCAAACAGCATGCTATTAAACAAATTTTCATGGTTGTTAAGTGAATCCATGGTCGTTAAATGGATGCCATGGTTGTTAAGCAAGCCCATTGTTTGCTATGGGGCATTTTTGCAGAAAAAAAACCAAAAAAAACCTAAATTGTAATTATTTGACCGTGGGACACTGCAAATGTCTGTAAATGAAGGCAGGTTGCCAAGTGCCCAAAATAGTCATTTGACCATGGGGAGAGAAGAACTGGCCATTGGAACGTCATAACTGAGTTCTAAGTACCTTGGGGGGATGTCTGTCATAACTTTGAATGGCTGCTAAGCAACTGGTTGTAAGTCAACGTCTGCCTGTATTTAAAAATATGGATTAGGACTACCAGATTGGGGGCTGCACATATCAGAGATACCACTAGGTGGCAGCAGAGAACCTGAGACTTTCTGGATCTCTTTGTTACCATCTAATGATTATTCCAAATTTGCAACTTGGATTTAGTAGCCAATCAAAAATGAAAACAAAAGAAATTTCATATTAGCTTCTTCAAGAGATGTATCATTCAATGATTAGAATAAGTGGACTTTGTATATGCACAAAGTATATACGGATATGTTCGCTGCAGTAAGTTTAGGCAAGAATGCCAGGCAACTCCAGAGAAAGTGAAATGATTTAGCATTTTGTCTACATCCATGCCCATATGCACCAATGTTTTGAGTTGCCAATTTAATTACATGAATGTCACTATGTTGTATTGTGTTGACAAGCCATATATGGTTCACCATCATTCAAGGAAAAGATAATGTAACATCAAACTTCAAAAAGAACAAAATGTTTCCCTCACCATTAATTATTCAATTAAATACTGAGCACACTATGAACAGATGGGGTCATGAGCAAAGTAGCAGAGAGAAAGCTCATGAAAACATCAGAAAACACAATCCTCTAAGCCTCCCTAGAAGTACAAACCATGCAATGAACATGGCACTATGATAAGTATCTGAACATAGTCAAGGTTGAAGAAAGCAGATTGTATGCATGCTTCGGGGGCTCTGATATCAAAGTTGGAGGTCAAGAAAACAAATAAGAAACAAAGAAAATACACCCTCTTTTAAAGAGGAAACCGATCCCTACATGTTATAAACCAGGGATGTCAAACTCGCAACGTCACGTGACGTGTTGCGATGTATCATGACTTTTTTTCATTGCCGGCAATGGGGTGGGCGCAGTTTCGCCAAGACGCATCCGGCCCGTAGGCCAGCAGTTTGACACCACTGTTATAAACAGATGCAACTTTTCATGATGCTTTTAGTCCATTTAATTAAGAAAGCTTTAATTGCATGCTAATCCACACTGCTCTTACCAACTCCCTCTTTTCTCTGCAAATGAGGAGGAAACTGCAATGAGGCATAGGGAGGAATGGGAAAATGTGCTTTTAAGCATCAGCCTGCTAAATAACTTCTCATCATTTACAGTTCTGTTCTGAACATCACCCATTTGAACTAGTGCCCTATCGCACAGCAGCAAAAATATGTTAACAAACATCAAGAATACATGGCAAGCTGCCCTCTCAGTAAAGAGGATGGTGCCTTGCCTTTCACTTTATTGACACTAATAAGAGGGGAGTAGGATGGAGCACTAAAAATAAAAGCAGATGGCAAAGCAAAATTAGGTATGCCCTACCACTGTAGAAACTGGGAAAGTACACAGTCAATTATTTCTATTTTAGATCATGCTGGTGAGAGAGTCAGAGTCTATGCTACTTGGACACAGAGAATGAAATTAGAGAAATATAGTCACTGAACAAGAATGGAAGATCTTTGTATTACAGAACCAATTATTCCACGGGATAGAGCCGAAATGTGAATAGTTCAAAACAATAAATTGTTTTCAAAGAAGGATCTTTTAGTGCTCATTTACTCGATATAAAACTCTGTTCCTCATAATAACCAGGCTCTGCTTGTCCCCATGGGCAAGATTCTCAGCAATGTCTGCTCATAAACAACTTCCATTTGTTCTAACACCAAATACCTCCACATAAGCTGCCCTTCAACATACTTCTGATTCTCTGTATTACCACTTTGCTGAAATTACCACTTTAATCAATCATTTCTTGATGCCTAGCAGCTATCCTGCAATTAGCTATTTCCTCTCCTGAGCCTTATATTAGTGCAATTGTGCATCAAGGAAAAAAAAAATGGTTTTGCAAAGCACTGCCACTGTGTGCGTGAAGAAATAGGATTACATGTAAGTTCTAATTCAGCAGGTTTACTGCTCAAGCCTATACACAAGAATCTGGTCAACTAATGGTCAGCACTAATTTGGTGCTAGACAAGAGTTAATGGAATTCAGGGGGAGGGGGGCTGTACTTGGAGAATTTGTGGACACATAATGATCTTTGGCTGAGTTCTGTCTTAACTCTACCCCCCAGGCTTTGCCTGTTCTTCTACATTGCTGCCACTAGTGTAGCAGGATGGAAGGGCAGAGAAAGCCAGTTCATTTTAGAATCAGATATACTGGCAGTTTGACTATGTTGAGTATTCTCTTCTTGAAGGATCTATAAACTCAAATTCGCAAGGCAGTCCAGATGTAAAATGGAATATCATGGATGGACGGGAGAGAGTGGGAATAGCCCTCAACGTCTACCTCAAACTCAATACGGTTCTTGGTGAAATTTAAACCAGATCTATATCATTGTTTTTTCAGGCCAGAGACCATACTTGGCTTTCACGTTGCATGCTGAAAGCCATACTCTAAAATGTAGGGAAGGTCTCCCAAATTTCTCACCAACAGTTTTGCCTGCAAGAGGGGCCAATTTCAGAAAGCAAATAGATTTGGGGATTGTGTGCATAGTAAATAAAGTACTCCTTTTCCTTCTCTTTTCTATTCTCCTCCTCCTCTTGAGACCAGGGGTGGCTAAAGAAAGGTGTAAGTTACTGAAAGTTGTAGTCCCATTCTCACAACCAAGATGGTGTAAAGATAATTTAGTTCAAGAATATCAGAACAATCTTTCCAGAATGTATCTAAGAGGGACAGCCCATCCCACAGAAAGAAATTTACCACAGAAAGGATCATCTGGATCATTTATATAATAAAATGAGATAAAATGACAGAAAGCAACCGAAGACAACAAAGCTTGCATAACACATTTTTGGTTCCAGAATTAAACTTCCAAAAAGTCACAATATATGGGCACATTCACAAAACATCCTTACCTATCAATGTTCTCCCACATCACCACCCACAACCAATCACTGTCCAATACCTAAGCCACTTTAAAGTGACCCGCTTTCGTTTTTAAATTTTTTGATATGCTTAAAATACACATTAGTTCAATGAGGATCAGAGCCATTATGCAACTGGTGGGAAGTAGGCTAAGCTTTTTCCACCTCATTAGGATTTCATTTGACCCAATTCATTCTTACAGGCAATGAAAATAGTGCCTGGAAGAGCCATTGTGCCTGCTAGCTCTATACTAGAAGAGAAGTATAGTAATTTAATTCTCTCAATCTATGGGAGATAAATTGAAAATCAAAGTTCTTACAGCAGAGATTATGTTAAAAAAAACAACACTCATGTACAAAACGATGAAGCCCAGGGCAAAAATTCAGTTAAAGTATTAGAAGGGTGGAAGGAAGGAAGAAATATTAGAATTAAACTGCAGTGGGCAGAAGGAATAAAGAATAAAGAAGAATGGAGCTTTGAAGTTGAGAGAAGGCAATCAACTATATGGAAGTTTTTTCCTAGTATGTCATTAAGATCCTTGTTTAGCTATATCCTCAAGCTTAGTCAAGCATCTCAGTGAGTCTGACATGATTGGACCAGATAATTTACGGCATAATGGTTAAGATAAATTCAGTCCAGTTTCTGGGTTGAAAGAAAAAGAAGGAAACAGCACTGCATGCGATAACGTTTCTACAAAGTATGGGCAAAGTAAGCCATTAAACCTAGGATGCTATTAAAATACTTTTATAGCTTGCTCTATTGAAAAGGAGACAACTGCTAGAGCTTTTTATTTAATGGTTCAAAAATGAGACTCAAAAAAATATAAAATTATATTTTCATCCTCAAAAGTGGAAATAGCTAGTGAGCAAACTGAATCCACCATCCTAAATGTAAAAGTCTCCAGGGATGTTTACTTTCCAAAAATGTACAGTCAACTTTATTTCTCACATTCATGAATTTCTCAATGACTTGATAAAGAGGACAGTCCACAAAATTTGAGAAAAATGTGTTCTCTTGAAGACTTGTCCTACCTAAAGTTGCTGTGCACATCCCAAATTTTGTGGATGGTCTCCTTTTGAACTGCTTCAGTCAGAATTTTACCAACAATTCACACTAGACATTGAACAAACTAGTCCCCTTCTTTTCTTCTCATTCATTTTTACCACCTCTCCTTTTGTATAGAAAAAATCATGATGTTCTTCTAATTGTGGAGCACAAATGTAGTCTACACGTCACTCCATAAGCAAACTGCATTAATATTTTAATATACTTCCAGTTAGATCTTCTACACTTGTACCCTTAGCATTTTTCAGCATGCTCATGACTTTCATGACCATTCCATCAAATTTAATTAATCTATTCTTTAATACAAATAGTCCACGACTTACGATCACAATTGAGCCAAAATTTCTATTGCTAAGTGAAACATTTGATAAGTGAATTTTGACTCATTTTATGACCTTTCTGGCCACAGGTTGTTAAGTGAATCACTGCAATTAAGTTAGTGACATGGTTGTTAAGTGAATCTGGCTTCTCCATTTACTCTGCTTAATCACAAAAAGCGATTTCAAAAAGCAGTCACATGACCCCAGGACACTGCAACCATCATAAATATGAATCAGTTGCCAAGCATCTAAATTTTGATCACATGAACATGGGGGTGCTGCAACATTCATAAGTGTGAAAAACAGTTATAAATCACTTTTTTCAGTGCTGTTGTAACTTTGAACGGTCACTAAATGAACTGTTGTAAGTTGAGGATAACCTGTATATGTTCATGTATTTTTTTATCCATGTTATTCTAGTTTCACTCTAGTTTCTTTCATATATTTTTTTTCTTTTCTTCTGTGACCTCTAGTGTGTTTTTTAATTTCTTTCATTTTCTTCCATGTCTCTTTCCCCCACCCCAAAATCTACTCTTGACACTACCAAGAAATGGTTTATCCCTACTCTGAATTCTTACTCCTTCTTGTATCCTTCACTAATTACCTCCATCACAAACAAATACATGTTTTAAGAGTTATAATAATTCCTTTGGCATGCGAATAGAGAAATAACCTTATGTTTAACCATGTATTTGTTACAAACAAATCTTTTTTGTCAGTTACTATAAACCTTTTGTAACTTACTGCATGATTGGAAAAAAAGAAAATCTCCCCTCTTTGCTACAACATAAATACTAAATTCTCAGGGGTCTGATGGGAAAAAATGGCCTTAACAGCCTTTTGTGCTTCTTAAAAACATCTGGTACTAGTTAGAAACATCAAGGGTAAACGTTATCTTTGATCTGATCAACAAATAGGAATTCTTGCATTTTCGTCCATTAAGAACGTAGTCTTAGAAAATGGGAATAGGAAACCAGGATACTATTAATCAAAATTAATATTTTCAAAGTTAGATTGTAAGAATTAGGCCGATATGTCACTGCAAATTAACCAGGGCAGCAATTGAGGAAAAATATGAGCAGAGAAAAACAGAAACCCATTTGGGGTTTGTTTCTATTATAAACCATTTGTAAAAGCATTTTCTATATGCTAAATTAATCGGATAAATATGACTTTTTAACAAATGTACATTCCCACCCAATCATTGATCTGGCCTCTAGTTCATGGTACACTTCTACCTCAGCTGCTCTTTGAATGAGACAGCCATGGGATTTTGATTATAACACCATATACGGACATAAATAAAAATTTCAAAAAGATATTCTAGAAGATCAGCATCGCTACTTATAAAGCAGGTGCTCTTAACATGGTAAACATGCCAGGTAATGACTACCTATAATATCAAACTAATAAACTGAGTATAAATCCTAAATAACGAACTATGGTTTATTAATTCCGTAATTTTCACTTTATGGCAGGAGCTTTTATACTCCAATTTCATTTAAATGGAACGGCCTTATGAGATAAATGCTACTTATTGTATGCTAAATTTTGCAATCAAGTTTTTATTTTAAACATGACGTAATAAAGCTTCTTTATAATTATCAATCCAAAAACCTCTCTCTAGTGATTTTTCATATTTAGCACTACAAAAGAATAATTACATTTTAGAACTGGAATGGAGCTTAGACGCAACGAGTCTAACACACTGCTCAGTATAAGAAGCTGCAATGATGACATCCCTGTCAGAAAGACATCTGTTTAATATTTCCAGAGAAAAGAAAGCCTGCTTCCTACTGCTGAAAAGTTTTTGTGTAAGATGACTAACATCCCTTCTATTAAACCTTCTCTTCTATAAATGAAGTACACTTTTAACCTTGCTTCAAGGACTAGCTTGCAAAATATTCTGCATACACTTCAGATATCTGCTATGAAGAACTGGACATGGCACTGTACTCACTGGCCACAAAAGAGAAGCCCTGAGCAATATCCTTATCAGACTTTTGCCTGAACAGGTGAAAAACTTAAATGTTGCTTTCAGCACAATTGGGCCTTGCACAGTTAGTCCTACATGGAGTAACTATGTTCAAGGCAGTGCAAATGCCACTTCCTTTCAGAAGTCCTCCTACGTTGTGTGAAGACAGAAGAAAACCACAGCAAGCCCATGTTTCCCAGCATAAGAGCCCTTCACACACTCAAGTCAATGCCTGAACGTGGCTAATTACAGTACTTCTTGCGATTTGGATGTTATACTTCCATCCATGAAGTCTTGAGTTACACTACTTGCCCTACTAGAAACAAAATGGTTTCTAGAAAGCATTTTCAAGCTTCAGCCGAAAAAGGTATCAAAATGACATATTGTATTTAATTTAGTCTGCAAAATGCTTCAGAAGTGTCAGCATTATGAATCACTTGTCCCTCAAAAGACAAATTTCAATTACACTTATCCAAGGTAAGCTGCACATTAAATGAGAGATACTTGTGCCTACTGATGAAGGAACCTTATGGCTTCAAAACAAGCATGAGCAGGCACAGAAATACAGACCAAGTCACCATGAATTATTTGACTTTACCTGAAAGACTAAGAAAAGACTGCCCTCTTCTTGGGGATTATGTTCAGTCAATCAGCAACTGAAACTGACATACCAGCAATGGAGGAAAAAAAATATCTTTCACTTGCAATTATTTATGACATTAATAGAAGAAAAGTTTGGGGAGCAATTTTTCATAAAAAAGTGGCTAGAAAGGAAGTGCTAATAAGTCTCCTTTTCAATTGTCCCAGTGGATATTTTCATAGCATCTCGTCCATGACCTAAATCTCATTAAAAACACCGCAAGATAGTTTTATCTACATGCAGTGCTGTATAATGTCACAACACAGATGTTATTCTAAGATATGTTGTATTGCCACACGTTCTTTAAATATGTAATTTTCTGTAATCCTGAGCAGAAAATGGCAACATTGTTTTCCCAAGTTGTTTTATTTATTTATTTATTTTATTTACATCCTGCCTTTCCTTAAAAGTTCCAGGCAGCATATACATTAAGGGTTACCCTCAATCAATGACACAACTCTGTAAGACACACTAGGCTGAAAGAGAGTGACTGACTCAACACCACCCAATAAGCTTAGCAATCAAATGGACTTAAACCTGGTTTTTGCTGGTTCCATTCTAAACCACCATAGCATGCTGACTTTCGGTCATGTTTTTGGTAGCAACTATGTAACTCAATATATATATATATTCTTCTGAATTATGCCTTCTTTTCCCTAAGTTGCAGTATAAAAGTAACGTATATATTTTACATATGTTTATAAATGCCACTCTTCTATTTATTGGAAATAATTTTGTTATATAGAAGACAAATCATGGATTTATTATTTTATTTCTTGAATCCATACTGTTTTCCCTGAGAATAAAAGATCTATAAAGTCCTGTCAAAATCTTGAAATATCTGAAAATCTGGTCCAAGAACAAAACTAAAAATTAATCAATCAATCAATGGATCTTACATCTAAAAATGCTTAATAACTCCCATTATGAAGGTGTTGTTTATAAAAATGCAAATATGTTTTAATATTATCTTCTAAAGGTTTCTGTGTTTACTGAAAAAGAAAAAATTGAAATGGCATTAAAAATATTGCACATGCTCTTTTCATGCGGGAAAGGTCACCGTAAAACTTTTAAGCATCGTCTCACCATTTGCTGTATTCATTCTGAGGTTATCCAGAAATTCCTCCAAGAGTTGTGATTGGTTATGCGGGGGCAAGAACTTTCTTGCATCCTTGGAAACGATACCATCTTTCAAAGAAGTACATAATGTTTTTTTATTGCCTTTGAGATTTGTGGTCAATGTTAGCTGCACGCTTTTCTCCGAGAACAGCAATTCCATCTGCCTGAGGTCAAGCTCAGATACAGATTCTCCATTTATAATCAAAATTTCATTCCCAACACACAAGCCTGGGAGCAGAAAAAAGCAGAAGACAGGAAGACACAACAGCAAGAGGGCACGTTAAAACATATTGTAACAAACTGCTAAGAAATTTTTTTTTTTAATCTTACCACTTGAAAGTTTATGGAATGTATTGTGATGAAACAATAAATCCAACAAATGTTTTGCAAAAATTCAGATTTACATAAAGAAAGTATCCTGCTTGTTAGAAAAGGAGTTAAAATTACAATAGGAGAGTAACTTTTCCATTATCTAATAAAGCAATCTAGGCAGCGAACTAGGACAAAAAGCTACTGGCCTAAATCGCTTTTTAAGCATTACACCCAAATAAATATGGACAAAATTCTACTTTCTTAAAGCCTTCCCTTCCTTTTTAGCTTAGAATTTTATCCAGTGAGTACAATAATTAGAAGCTAGTTAAACTGAACAAAATCCCTGGGAACATGGGCAATAAAGCAATAAAGGAATGTAAGAGTTGAGTGGATTCAACAGCCATGAAAAATGGCATTTGATCGTATCATCCTTGTCGTAGAGAATTAATAACAATTTGAAACATAAACACATAGCTTGATGTGACAAGATGAAATTCTCTGAATATTCTTATAGTACAATTGATCTACTCATTGAAAACTCTATTTAACTCAATGTGTTGTCTAGACAGGACTGCTGAAATGAGTGACTTCAGCCAGATGAAATAGATGATATTTCACTCAACATGTTTTCTCTATTCATATACAGTAAATGCATAGCTATCTGCTTGCTGAGGATATGCTTCTTGGAGAACAATAGCATGGCTTCCCAACAAGCATATATGGGGGTGAGGTTGGGGTAGGGAGGAGAAGAGGATTTTTCACATTGGGCTGTCCCTGAAGAGTACCTAGAAGCTTTAGCTGGTACAAAATGGAGTAGCACAGGCAGTTATGTGTACTCCAAGATCTGCACATATTACACCTCAGCTCTGGGAGTTGCGTTGGCTGTCAATTTGCTTCTCACTTAAATCAAAGGTGCTGATTATGACCTTTAAAGCCTTACATGGCATGGGGCCAAATTATTTGAGGGACCACCTGTCCCCAATTGCATTGACCCATGCTATCAGGTCTGGCAGGAGGGACATACTGTGGGTCTCATTAGCTAAGGAACTTCACTTGGCAAGACTCAAGATGAGTGCTTTTTCTGCAATGGCAGACCATATCGTTCCTTCAAGGTGAGATTGGCCCCAATCCAGTTGAACTTCTGGAAGTCCCTCAAAAATTGGTTTTGCTGTTGGGCTTGGGAATCCCATGAAAGTAAACAGCCTGTTAAATGGCATTGTGCACTGTGTACAAGTCTAGACTACACTCGCCCATCTTTTTGTTATTGCAGTTTTTAGCTGTCATTAACTGATTTTAATGATTGGATTTTGTATATTAATTGTGTACCCCACCCAGAATCACATGTGAGACAGACTGCCATATAAATTCAATCGATCAATCAATACAGAGTTCCACATAATGCTTTGCTGTCCATCTGTATAACAAAAAACCTTCCCATGTTGGTGCTAAGAATCTAAGAAAGTTTTGATAGACCTACCCACTGCCAAAAAAGAAAGAGATAAAATGGTTCCTCCTTCCATTCACCCATCCATCCTTCCTTGAGCATTTGTATCCTGTGTATAACTTGTATTTTAGGTGGCTTATTTTAGTTTAGAGCCATGCGTAGGCATTAGAAAATAATGTAAATGAGAGAGACACACAAACCTCCTCTGTAAGCTATCCCATCAGGAAGAACATCACTTATAAAGATATGGGTAAGATACTGGTGTTCATCAACTTGCACGTTGACTGCAAATCCTGGAATTAAAAAAAAATCAGCTTTATAAGCATGTGTCAATACCACCGTCTTAAAATGAACTACACAGAATTAGTATTCAATACCAATTACATAGAAAGAATATATTTTTATGTTATTTAGGATATTGCGTCTCATTAACATGGTATACATCTGAAATAACATAAAAGTAAAATAGAGGCCATTGGAGAATAATTACTAACAGCAGAATATCATTGTTTGTAGCCTTATAACATAGTAACTTCAACAGAGGACATGCCATTTTTTTTAGCTCCCAAACCAAATCACTCTTATCATAGTTTCCTTTGGCTCCATTTATCCAAAGGCCCTGGGTACTCTATTCCATCAAGGTCTTTTCTATGAAAGCTAAACAGGACTCTGACTTCAAAGGCACACTATATCCTTGGCTAACAATATAGGAGACAGAACTAACCAAGTCAACCAAGCAAGTATTTAAAACAGTTTCCTCATTCAGTTAACTTACCAAAATCAGCTACACCCTCTTTCTTAGTAAGATGCGCATGGTAGATGCTCAAAGGAAAGATTTCTATTTCATCATATATCTGTAGAAGAGACAATATCACATTTCAAGCTGGACTGGGGATAGATGCACAAGTTCAAAATACACTCAATGAATAAGCCCAATAGTGTCACTGTTAGGATCAGCTCTTCCATTCAATAGCTGCTTTGCAAGGCTTTTTGTGGTTGCCATTAAAGGACAGAACATTGCCAATTATCGTGTCAATTCTATTGGGATTCTGTATCTCATTTGTTAAATTTTATTTCAGTCACTATTATTGGATTAAAGCATTGAAAAATGTCACTTTTGTATAAAAAGTATGATAGTTAACTTAAAGAATCATTTAAAATATTAAAGGCAACATGATAGAGAATCCATCCATAATCTATATTTGGACAAGAAGCAAAGTTTCACCTTTGTCTGTTATTGCCTAGCTGCAGTTCTAATCCTTTAAGTAATTTTCTCCTTGGCCTGATCAAACTTTCAGTATGACGGATGAGCTACTTAAAAAAAAAAAAAACCTCAAGTATCAAGTCCACGTGAAGAGGGAGATAGCTTTGTTCTCTTTAGCTGTCCACTCTTGTGTAGACAAATAAGATCCTTAAGCTCACTTGACATGTGATGACAACAGATACATGAATAAAGGTGGCTGCCTTATCTCATCTGTTTTTGGCTCCTAATGTAACAGAGCAGCAATAAATTAAGAAGGTGTTACAAAGCTCCCAGAAATTAGAATCACCAGCCAGTTTAGCAGACTGTAGTGAATATCAATGAGAATGGTGAGAATTTCTCATCTATAAATGGAGGTATGCCTCACCCTAACTTAATAAAGAGGTGCAGGGCCTAAAGCTCCAGGCATATGAAAAACAGATCTCCTCCTAAAAGAGCTGCAGAAGTCTTAGGTTTTAATGTGACAAAAAGAAAACAAAATACCAAATACCTGGGGAAATAGCCTATTTAGATTTAGTTTTAATTACATTCAAATTAAAATGCATTTTATTCTGGTCCCCATCCCATTTATTTTCTTCCCATAGCTAATTAAAAAAAAATTCAGTACAGCCTTTGCAATGCCAAATAAAGACTATGTGTAGTTTTCCAGATGAAAAAGGATGTGCCTAAAACAACTCGCATCTAATTTCTAGCAACCTGTTCTTTTACACCAAGTTCAACTAGGGCTAAGTTTTACATATCCAGATTGATATGATAATTACATATCAATCTGCTCAGCCAATATATGTTAGGGGTTTTGGGGTTTTTTGTTCATTCTTTTCAGGCATAGTGCAACACACACACTGGAATGTCACCAAGTTGGAGATGGCTATTTCAACCATTTACCTGCAGCCAACATTGAAAGACCAGGATTCTAATATTTTTCTCCATCTCATAGATCAGTTATTTGTGCCTAATTCCATTTTGGCTATGAGGGGACTGTTCCATTAAGAAGTGTTTGGAGCAAGAAGCAACAGATGGAAACTAATCAAGGAGAGAAGCAACCTAGAACTAAGGAGAAACTTCCTGACAGTTAGAGCAATTAACCAGTGGAACAACCTGCCTCCAGAAGCGGTGAATGCTCCAACACTGGAAGTTTTTAAGAAGAGACTGGACAAACATTTGTCTGAAATGGTATAGGGTTTCTTGCCTGAGCAGGGGGTTGGACTAGATGATCTCCAAGATCCCTTCCAACTTTATTATTATTATTATTATTGTTGTTGTTGTTGTTGTTATTTCATTTCTTGGAGTTAGAGATTATACAGTCCCTGACAAGTTATACTCCTTAGGTATATCTTACTCTAAGGTGGACAGCTCAAAAAATATTCTACCTGTTCTGTCCATCTACACAACTCTGCAAAGTTTGTCATGTTTTCTGTAAGAACGAAAAATTATAAGTCCTCAAATAAGGATTCTGATCAAGAAATCGCATCTCTTGATCCTGTGCACTTACCTGGTCTTGAATATATTCATACATTTCGGGGATACAGTGTTCAGTATTTTCACCTATAAACCTTCTAAGTTGTAAACCATAATGTCTTGGCTCCATCTGCTTAATCTAAAGGATGAAAAAAAAATCTAACATTTAGGAACTATTTGGACAAATATTTATCACAGCAGATACAGAGATACATCTTCCTTCAGTCTCAAACATGTCACTTTCTAAAATACGGTAATAATATGCACCTTCATAAATAAATCATACAGTTTATGTATCAATGTAATTCTGTTGCTTTTAGTTTCTAATATTATTTCTTATGTAGAAAAATCAGCAAGTAGTAAGATAAATTTTAAATCTTGTCCAGTTTATATTGGCAGTTCTTAGCGTCTACAGATTTCACAGACGGCTAATTCTACTCCAAATACAGACCCATGATTGAATGATTAGTATTAATTGGTTGATTGATTGTCAAAAGAAACATGTTTTTGCTCTGGTTGGCTCTTCCTACATTTTTATTTTCAAACTCCTCTGGAATTGTGAAACACTGAAGTTTGAATTCTATGATAAACACTGATGCATAGAATATATTTTCATTCTGTACATGAAAGGAGGTTTCCTCTATGGAACCCTTCTGCAAACAGAAAGGATAAAGACCATTTTTAAAATTCCCACTGCCACTTCTCATGCTATTTCAAAGAACAACCCCAAAAAGTCATTATAGATAACATGCTGGTTAAAGATCAATAGTGCCTTAAGTAAGGGACATTATACAAATAATTACGGATGTGCTCCCTTTTTTAAGGCAATTTCCTTTCACAAAACTTTTCCACTTGTCTCTGGGACTCTCATGCCACCTAGTGGTTATCTGTGATATCTTACACTTGCCTGTTTTTCTCAAAATAGAAAGCGCAAGTGATAAAAACTGAGTTTAAAAATCCACTCTGGGTCTTAAAAGCTAGATTATTATCAGGAAAACTATTTCTGGGATACTGGGACAAAGTGAATGCTTTTCTCCCAGGTTTTAGGACAAGGTGGTTGCAATATGTTGCTACCGGCCAGTTTTACCATCTTATTCATTGTTTATTTTATCTGGATTGCATATAGCAATTGTTGTTGTTTTTGAGCCACCTAGATTCAATTGGAGCATGATGGTGGCCAGTTGAATGAATGAATGAATGAATGAGAAGTTTATTTTCTCTACATCAAAACCAGTTAGTTACTAAATACTTTTTGAAGATACTTAAATTTTTAATTACTTGTATTTTGATTACTTTCTTCACTGCCTACTTAAGGGAAATAAGTGTAATTATATGATAATATTAAGATATGGAACAATGTACCTTGCATGCCAAGGTCAACACATCATTTATTTTGTGATTTGGCTTTAGGGTTAACATTATTCCTTCGCCATCAGGGTACCGAACCAATGACTGGATATCCCAGATATTTTCTTTTGAAGCATTTTCTGGAGCCGAGTAGTAAACATTTAGAAATTCATCTACTTTCTGCTGAGAGAAAAAAACATACAGCATTTAGTAAATATTGTTGTTCTTTTAAAGAGCAAAGGGTTTAGCTGTCTAATAAAGTATTAAAAATCACGTCTCAGATCATGTCTTTATTTGTAGTTTATAGATTCGATAAAAAGGTAATTGAAAATGAGGTATTTGTAGCAGACTTTCATTCAACATTTTTGCAGCAATATTTCAAAATGTTTTCAAATCAGTAAAAATGAAGACCTTTAGTAAGATGGAATGGAATGAAAAAACAACAGTGTAGCTTTCATTGCTATTCCTACCAAACTTCACGTCCCACCTCTGTCCCTTTTTTCTTAAATAATCATTAGCAGATATGACATTTTCAGTGGAAATGAAAAAAATTAGAGAATGTTAATTCTACTGACTGTTGTTACGATTTGAAACATAAACTTGATTAGGTTAAAGTTTCATTTAAAACCTTCACCAACAGAGGGCAGTATAGCTAGTTTCACTCATACAGATATGTAGAATACTATGTGTACCCACATGAATTTACATTTCTTTTTATTTCCTTCATATTAAAAAGTCAGCAAAACCTCATTAATGAATGTCTATGGAGATTTTCAGTCATCCAGGTCAGGGTTGTCCCAAAGGTGCTTTTTCAAGAGGCAACTGGACTTCCTTTATTTTTCCTTGAAGATATTTCGCTTCTCATCCAAGGATCTTCTTCAATTCAGTTCTGAAGGAGCTTCTTGGATGACAAGTGAAATGTCTTCAAGGAAAAGCAAAGAAAGGCCAGTTGCTTCTTGAAACAGCACCTTTGGGTCTTATTAATGAATACAGATTTTCTTATTTTCTTCATATTAAAAAAATAGCAACCGATGTCAAACCTTCCACATTTAAACCACAATCACGGTAAGAACACTAGAAAATGTCTCCTCTATATTAAAAGACATAAGACAAAAGCTACATATAAAGGTAGATCCCAGCAATTTTTCCATCTGAGATCAGCTTCAGACTATGTAACTGTAATTTTTACTTAAACCTCAACCCATTCATTTTCAGAACATCAAAGATACTTATGTTCAAAGCATTTCAATTAAGCTTTATTATTTTAATATCCAAAAGGTTTATTTATTTCTTATATTTGAATCTCATTTTTTTCTTTTAGGAGCAGAAGGCAACAAACTTTCTTAAAGATCCTCTTCCACAGAGGCAATCTAGAAAGAAATCATTAACAAAGATCACATTTTTAAAAAATGAAAATGGTAGCTTATTTCCACTCAGCTAGAAATCTGAAAAATGAAATATAGGAAAAACTGTGCTTATAAAAATAATTTTGTCCATTTTTGCAATGTAGGTATAAAAAGCAAAGACAGAACATATTTTAATGAAAAACAAAAAAAAACAAAATAGTGTTTACTCAGTGTGTTTACACAGTTAACCTATGTCTAATACCGTAGCTTTATACTTTACAAACATGTTTCAATAAAGGAGGATATTTGTAACTCAGGGTTTAAATGAAGGATCCTTGGTGGTCTCAGAGCTTGTTGTTTTCTTGCAGACATTTCATTACCCAAACTAAATAACATCATCATTTCTAGTGACTTGACTAGCACTATGGTGTTACCTAGTTTGGATAATGAAAGGTCTGCAAGAAAACAATCAAGCTCAGAGACCACCAAGGACCTCTCAGAGGCATGTTTGTTCCCATCTTTAAACTGATTTAATCTTTGCAATAATTAGATATGAAATGCAACGGATGGTTTGCCTAAGCCTATTTTCCTTGCCTAACATTCATAACTTTTTTCCCCTTTTGTTCAATTGTGTCTGATTCTCACAGACTAGCTGCAGTTTTCTTGGCAAGGTTTTTCAGGAGAGGTTCTAGGGCTTACAGAAAGTAAACTGGCCTAAAATCACCCAGTTTGCTTTGTCTCCAAGGTGCAACTAGAACTCCCAGTTTCTAAGCTGATGCCTTAACCCATTAATGGCGAACCTATGGCACGGGTGCCAGAGGCAGCACTCGGAGCCCTCTCTGTGGGCACACACGCTGTTGCCCCAGCCCCGCCTCCCCCCACGGCCCCCTCACCAGCAGCACCCCTGGAGGAGAGTCACCCCAGGCGCAGTCCACACAGAGCAGCACAGCCAAGGACATAGCCGGGCAACAGGGACAAGACTCTGCCCTTGCATCCCATAACATGCAGATGATGCTGCGGGGTGTGGGCAAAGGGCATGGCTGCCATGGTGCTGCAGGGCTGCCTGGCGATCTGCTGCGGCAGGCCATGGAGGCGGTGCGTGGCCCTGCAGGCGGGCGGGGCAGGGGGTGGGCGGGGCGGAGCAGGCAGGGCAGGAGGCAGAGCGGGGGTGGGGGGCAGTTTTTGGGCACCCGATCTTTAAAAGGTTCGCCATCACTGCCTTAACCACTATACCAAAGTGACTCTCTTAACAGTCATAAAATATCTGCACAAATAGTTTTTAGGTTTGCCAAATTAGAAATACTTTTTTAAAAAAAATGTGATGGAAATAAAATTCCATACAATTTTTAAAAGAAAAAAAGGCTAATTCATTTCAAGATCAATTTATATTTTCCAACTTTAAAACTAAGTGGCTAGATTTTTCCTCTCAGTTAGGTCTGCTCTGTAACTAATATCACAATACTTCATTCATTTATTGCCACAGAGTTCTGACAACACATTGAGTTTTCCAGCAATTTATGCCAAGTCTGTAATGTGCACGACATTTTTGCTTGAAAAGCAGCTGGTTTCTTCATAATTTTCCTGTCTTTGTCTCCGTTTTTATATGAAACACCTCAGAAAACCTGTGTGCTTCAGTAAACCCATCAGGAAATGGTGAGTGGGTTAGCATGCTACAATTAATCATTTCTTTGAGTAAGTGAATGAGGCATTATGAAGCAGTGCAGCAGCTCCTCTAGATACAGCTATTTAAACCATTTAAGTACTTTTACAGCTGGAATGCTACAGCTTATTCTATGTAGTAGTCTGGGGCTAATTCAGTGAAGCAAGTGTCACAGATCTGGCTTCGCATCAAGGCGTTCTCACAATTGATGTATTTTCCTACTGTCCTTAGAAGCAAGACCAAGCAAGCAAGCATGTAACAGCAAAGGTACTTTCAGTGGGGCCACTTTAAATGTACATTTCTGCATCTTGCATAAAGCAGTGCCATCATATCCTATAGTACTAGAACTTCAAATATAAAGGACTTCTATACTGCTCACAAAAATAAAGGGAACATTTTAACATGGAACTGAAGGAGTTTGCATTCCCTTTATTTTTGTGAGCAGTACGTTTACTATCAAGGAGAGATTTTTAAAAAAATACTATATAGTATCAACTGATAATTTTATTTTTTTAATGTAGTTTAATATAACAGAGATATTAGTGAAGACTATTTCTAGTCTTAAGGGAGGTCTCTAAGGCAGAGCTCCCCGACCTTTTCAGCTTGTCAGCCCGGAAGGAAAGGGAGCAGCAGTGAAATGTGTGGTGGGTGTGAGGCCCCATGTACGCATGCGCAAACGGTTTCACACAGAGGCGGCGCTAGTACGTTTGCACATGTGCAAGGAAGTTGTGCACACCCATGGTTTGCGTGCTGGTGTCCGCGTGGATGCAACAAACGGCCCACTAGCACCCGCATGATGCTGGTGGTGGTGCCAGCGTCCCCGTGCATGCGCAAATGGGATTGCTAGTGCCCGTGCAGTGGAGCTACTGTGAGTTGGGGGTGCTCACCAGCTATTCCCGGGGCCCGATGGCCAAGAGACCACAGCCCAGTACCAGGAGTGGACCATAGGTTGGGAACCCCTGCACTCAAGCCAAGCTTAGAATAAAATGTTGGACCAGACACCAACTTACTACATCAATAACATGGCACCATCAAGTAACTAGGCACGCTCTTAAAAAGGACCTCATTTAAATTTTTATGTTTAAATTGATACTTTAAAGCCCCCAATTTCTTACAAGATTTTTGAGATTTTGCAAGAGAATCCAGGAAACCATAGAAGAAAAAGTTGTCAAGTACTGGTTTATTATATCATTGAAGCATTTACTTATTAAGTTTTCCAGCAACAATATTTGCTTTGATCTAAAAGGTCAATAGGGCTCCTTCTCTTCTCCCAAAGCTACCCATCTGCCCTCTTACTGGGAAGTCAGCATTTCCCAAGGCTTCACTACCCTAAAGACTGGGAGTCCAAGTGCTCCAAACCAGCCCTTCTTTGGAACTGTAATGGAAAATGAGATCAGTGGGAGGAGTCAGTATTTATTGATTTAAATGCTTCTAGTACAACAAAGTGGCTTGTGACAAGAAGTTATAGTTGTCTGGGGGAGCTCTGGTGTCATCCACTATCATCCAAACCTTTGGAGTTGGCCAAGAAAATAAATCCACAGAATATATTATCTTCTCTATTTTCTGGTTTACAAGCCCAAGGGCTTGACATAAGGAACTTTAGACAGTTATGACTTTAAATAAAAATGAACAAGACATGTTTCATGTTTGTGGTCTATGAAAGTTGCATACTGTAATTATATTAGAAAATGAAAGGATTATACTATATATGAACAAAAGTATACAACCTAAAACTACTGCCCAGTAGTTTGGGATATATGATTCATTAATTGTATTAAATGAATCACATATTTTACTGATTGAATATAGCTAGCCGGTATCCAATCTACAGAGATTTTTTTTCTAAAAAAAAAATTGAATACTCCTATCCCAGCATAGGAATCTCATTTCTGTAAATGAAAAACATATAACATAGAATAGCAGAGTTGGGAGGGATCTTGGAGTTCTCCTAGTCCAATCCCCCTACTCGAGCAGAAGACCCCATGCCATTTCAGACAAGTGACTGTCCATAATTGTTGAGCAATTTTAATGGGACAAATTAGTGTGACAATACTGTGAGTGGCAGGATATGCAATAATTTATTTAAGAGACTGCTGCAGAAGCTTGTATAGAAAAGATAAAAGTATTTCCCGCCCCCGCCCCCACTTATGACTCAAAGCAAGTAAGGAAGCCCATTCAACCTGCTTGTTTGTCATATATTTATAACATCTGCACACACATTAAACAAGTGAAAGTTAAATTAAATTTGTTGCATTTTATTATATTACCTCAGCAGAATTACTGCAATACTGAGGTAGCTGTGTTCCAGGAATTCCATGCCCTCCAGTTGAGTCAAAAATCTAATTAAAGAAAAAATAAATTAACATAATGCATAATGAATCGCTGTTTCACTTGCAAAAAAGGCAATAAACCCCCAAATAAAGTAAAAGTACACGTTGGTTCACCCTAAAGTATCTACCTGCTACTAGCAATGGGTACTGGCTGTTTCATGAAGAAGCAGTCCTAGATCTGAATTTGGCCCAGAGACAACTGGAATAGCATCCTGTATGCTTAAGTGGAGGCGGGGAGGGGGGCCAGGTAAATGTGTGGTAGGAGTCGCTTGCATAAGACTCCTCCTGAACTGGATTTCAAACCATTATGCTTCCTTTATCAAAAAAATATTGTCAGAAGGGACTATTTGGGCATGGACAATAGAAGCAATGCTGGGGTTGGTCATTTATCCCTAGAATGAAAACTCTGTTTGATGATCCATTTGTTTGTTTCCTTGGCTCACGAGTCTTTCCCAGCACCAAAGTTCAAAAGTGTCATTATTCTTCCTATCCTGTTCTTGAAAATCCACTTCAAAAAGATGTAGTTCCATTTTCAAGATAATTCAATGCTGGCAGCTTTTTTTTACATGACTAACATTTAGTGGCACCCATGTAAGACTTCCAGGCTGTAACCACATTTGGAAAGAGTTAAGCTCAAACTTTTTCATTCTACCTTCTCTGATTTTGGGAATTTGAATGGGAGGAAGCCTATTATTGGTACTAATCAAGATGTGTCACAATTCTGGTAAACACTGAGAGCTAAGTTCATATGAAGTATATTTCCACTAAATTATTATTCCACAAAAAAATCTACTGATCTATTGATAGACCACTGCATTTCCTTTTCTCATGTTCTTCAAGAACTACATTTTTGATAAGGAACATGTGAGAGGCAACCAAAGAAGATAAGAGTTGTTATTTCCTGATAAATTTCTGACAGCACTTTAGTATCTTTCTAAACATCTTAAGATATGGAACTGGGCTTATGGCGTCTAACTGATTCATGTACTTGTGACTTTTTAAATAAATATCATGCAAACCACCCAGGTCTCACAATATTTTTGGCCACTCTTATCCTTTTCAGTTATGCAATTGGTTACTACAATATGTCCTCTATCTTGGATTACTACAATATGTTTCTATCTTGACTGCAAACACACTAATCAATTTTGATGTGTTCTATTCGCCAAGAAGTTTACAGTTATGGTATTTTTTCCTCAGTTGGATTTTTTCATGACACAATACATGTAGCTACACTTATTTATATTTGCTACATTTTTCCTATATTCTTCCTTTTTAAATTGCCTATGAAATCACTTAATATAATAAATATTCTTAGCCACCCAATATATATATATATATCTGATATCACAAATACACTTAATGGGGAAACTGGCGCTGACGTTTATAAATGTAGTATCCTATTGCTGGGCTTACACACTGTACTATGCTTTAGTTTAATGTAGTTTACACTGTCACACAAACAGATCAATACATTAACCAAACATGGTTTGTTTTAGACTCCAGATTTAAAATTGGTCCTGCCTCTTCAGCAATTTCCCTCAGTAATATCATCAACAACTTTCTAGCTGGTCAATAGAACGAGTTGCTATCCCCAGGGACTGGCAAGTTTTTCTATTTGCTCCAAGCAATCCAATGCAAATGGTACTAAATAAAAGGGAAGAAACTCCAAGAACAGACTTGGCAAATCATCGCTACCTTCCTGATGTGCAATATTGGTTCTGGATTGGTCAAAAGATCATAGTTTATCAAACACTGGCTTTGCATAATGTGCAAATGTAAATCTATTGACTTTCTGCATGGTTCTATTTGAGAAGGTTTAGTACACCATAAGATTTAAGTTATGTAGTCTTTATGTCACCGGCAAAGCATCAACAGACTTTGGCATGATTGCTAATACTTCTCAATGTTCAATGATATGAATCAAGTGAGAACTACCTGGGTTATAGAAGGTCTCTTCTCCTTTGCCTTTCTCGCGAGGGTATCCAGTCCCTTCAGGGAGGAGAACAAACCCTTCTTGCTCCACACTCTCTGTGAGAGAGACCATTTTCTCTTTCTGAGAGCTGCCTCGTCCCTGGAGCAGATCTAATTTTGGGGAAAGGGGAGAACAGGGAATGGCAAGGAACAGAAGGGAAAGTCAGATGCAAGCATTGAACTGTAGATCTCTTCATATCTCTTCTCGGACAACAAGACAGTAATCAAGATGAGTCACATGAAGTAAGAGATAAAAGATACGTTCCAAAATGACTTATCTTCACTGTTGTGATGGCCTCTATAACACTTGCTTTATAACACTTGCAGCAGATAATGAGAAGGAAAATAAAAGAGGGAATGCAAGTTTTTGAGAGATGGCAATTCTGCTATCTTTTAGAATAAATATGGCGATTGAGTTTCCCAGAAGCTCTTCTCTTAGCATGGGAGAGAATTTCATCAGCATGATAGTTATAGATCTCTGTCCCAGGCCAGCCAATTGAAGTTCTCTGTGTTATCCCAGTCTGGACGCTATGGTGGGAGAGGGACGATTGCATAGCCAACAGGCTCTGATTCAACCTTGAGAAGACAGCTCTGACCTGCCCACCCCCCAAAACCAGATTCCAGTTCTATAGATTTTCCACCCATAGCCATACGTGGGGGTTGTCCTTCCTCTGTCAGAGGTTGTCCTTCCTCTGGGTGCAATTTGGATGTCTTCCTGGGCTCAGGGCTCCTGCCTGAATAGGTCATAGCCAAGAGGGTCCTTGTACAGCAATATATTGTGCCCTTTACTGGTTCAGGTGACCCTGCTCACCATCACTCATGCTCTAGACACCTCTCAGCCATATTTCTGCAAGGCACCCTAAATGGGACCGATTTCAAACCCCACCCAGAAGCAGAAGCTAGTTCAGAAGGCAGGAATGTGGGCAGTAACAGCTGTGCCTCAGTCTGCCTTTGTAATATTATTTTACGAGCTGCATTTGCTCCCAGTAGATTTTCAGATAAAATTCACTTATATAGCACTTATATAGCCCTATATGACACAGGACCATATTTTACTTGCAAGATTGCCTTTCCCTGGCTAGCTTTGACCACCCTCTAGGTCAGGGGTAGGCAAACTTGGCTCTTTTATGACTCGTGGACTTCAACTCCCAGAATTCCTGAGCCAGCCATGCTGGCTCAGGAATTCTGGGAGTTGAAGTCCACGAGTCATAAAAGAGCCAAGGTTGTCTACCCCTGCTCTAGGTCATACAGGGTTGCCATGGGCCCCAGCCCCCTTTCTGAAGTAATGCAACCAAATGGGACCGAAAAAGATATGACTTCTCTATTACTCTCCTTCCAGCTTACCAGGGCGTGAAATGATGAGACTGAGAAGAGGCCAAGTCTCCCAAGGGCCATTTTCGAAGGACGGCTGGCAGCAGCCAGAAGACTCTTCGGATTGGGAAGTTCTCCACCTTGCAGACTGGCTAAGTAACAGCGCATTTTGAAGAGGTCCATGTTAAATTTTTCCAGATTCTGCTCCCATTGCTGAATCTGTTTAGGAACACATATAAAGTATTAGAGCAGGACAAATTGTGGAGAGGAAATAACTCTGCGCCTTGGTCCCAAGCTATTTACATCTGGAACAACATAAAAGTTTATTAGTTTATCCTTTTCAAAACGCATTCAGTCAAATTGTGTTCCAAGTACTTATGAAAATTGATGTTGTGTCAAAAGAAACCTGGAACTGCAAGAGGAAAATATATAGAAATGCATCAGCCCTACTGCTCTTCCAGTTTGTCTTCCCCAGTCTCTGCCTTTAAAGGGTGGATTCAAGACAATAATAAAAATTACTATTGGGATGGGGGGAAGGGGAGGAGGCAAAGCCTCTATTACCTTTTTGGTACAGAGGTGGCAACTAGCTATTTTTAATACTCACTCTGAAAAATATTTACTATTCTCAGCTAAAAGGCCAGCTAAACCAGCTGGTCCTTTTAAAACTCAGAAAATATAAAGCTACGACTGATAGATTTCTTGTATCAGAGTTATAAACTGAGATTAGTTCCTTAGATTTCCACTAAATAAGAGAGTTTCAAGACTTTTCTCTCCATTTCTGGGCCTTCTGTTTTCTTGAGCTCTTTCCTGCCAGTGCCTTTTTATATACTTTTATGACATTCATGACCTCTGTTCTGATGTGCAACTAAATACTGTATGTGGACAACCTTCAATCTGATAGAAAACTGGACCATAATTGCAGCCTTGGCCTGTTCTTTCACACGTTCAGTTGGCAGAGTGCAACTGAGTTATGATCACACAGACCAGGATGTGAGAAGACTTCCCTATACTACTTAGGGCCCTACTACAGTGGTATCTCAGATTTGTTTGCATTCAACCAATTGCAACTTTGGCTCCCCTTCAGATCTCCAGCTTAACATGAAATAGTCGGTGAATAAAGTAGTAGTCCAGTAGGCCCACCACATGCTCTGTCTAGTCGAGCCTCTGCATTTTCATCTGAACATATTAAAAGGCTGTACAGGTAATCCTCGACTTACAACAGTTTGTTTAGTGAACGTTCAAAGTTACAACAGCACTAAAAATGTGACTTATGGCCGTTTTTCAGTGTTACAACCTTTGTAGCATCCTCAGAATCATGTGATCAAAATTCAGATGCTTGGCAACTGGCTCATATCCCCTTTTACAACCTCCTGACCAGCAAAGTCAATGGGGAAGCCAGATTCACTTAACAACCAGGTTACTAACTTATCAACTGCAGTCATTCACTTAACAACCGTGGCAAGAAGAGTCATTAAATGAGGCAAAACTCACTTAACAAATGTCTCACTTAACAACAGAAATTTTGGGCTCAATTGTGCTCGTAAGTCGAGGACTACCAATAGTTCATCAGGTTTTTTATCTTCATCTTTCTAATTTATTTTTCCTGTCTTTATCTCTCCTGGAACTGAGATCAGAGTTACAATGTGAGACACATAAAATCAAGGGAAGGGAGTGGAAAAAGATCCTAGAATATAGGAAAAGTCAAGGATAAGTAAAATCCTAGAGATTTTTTTTAATTTCCAATAAGTAATTGTACCCCAGAATCATGTTTGTACTAATTTTAATAACGTTTACCATTATAAGGGTAAAAAAAATACATATAAACTAAGAAAAATGTAACAAAGTAAAAAAGAGACAATAATTAAAAGAAAAGAAAAATGTAATATATATAAAAATAAATGATTTCCCCCTTCATCATGACAGATACAAACAATTTCAGCAACTTCTCTAATACAGGTAGTTCTTGACTTACAACCACAAATGGGACTGGGATTGCAGTTATTGCGGTCGTAAAGCAAGACATCATATAATGTTATATTGCGGAGTGCCAAGGAACTCAGGAACCGTATTTGGAGCTGTCTGCCATACCCCAGGGAAGCCTCATCCACCCCAACCTATCCAATCAAACATTTGTTTGCCCAGTTGCTTTCTCTCCCAGTTCCCTGAACCAATTTTTTTGTGCCCAGCTGCCCTGGCCAAAGCAGAAGTGACTTGCTGCCTCTGCCATCTCCTTTTCAGACCAGTGGCCAACAGGCTACCCTTATCCCAACGGCATAACGTCAAGCCACAGCATCCACAAAACCCCAGCAACCTCCAGCAAGCATTTGTTCACCCAGCTGTCTTCTTTCATCTTTGGGGCCCAGCCACCATGGCAGAGGTGGAAGCACCTCACTGCCTTTGCCATCGCCTTTTTGAATCCAGTTTCTCCTGTTAACTTTTCCTACATGTGGCTCCCTGAGCTTTTGGAATGCTGTGCTGCCTTTGTAAAATCTGCCCTGCCTTTACTTCCAGAAGGCTTTCTGAAGATAGTGCAGCCTTTAGAAAGCCGTGCTTTCTTCGGAAAGCCTTCAGAAAGACAGCAGAGCTTTATAAAGACAGCACAGTTTTTTCTGAAGACTGCACTTTCTTCAGAAAGCCTTTGTAAAGCTGCACTGTCTTCAGAAAACTGTGCTGTTTAAGTATCTCTGGACTTCAGCATGAAACTATTGGTACAAGAAGCATTTATTAGATTCCTTTAAAATTGCCCTCTGTTTAGATTTTTCTCTTATTTAAAAACTGAATTCCTTTTTGAGTTAACATTGCAATCTACCCATTCACTAACATTCAAATCATAGAAGTATGTAGCACAAGCATTCCATATAACCTCACAATTATATATACAACTAAGTCCAAGAGAGAAAATAATAGGTTCTAGAATGTTGCAAATACTGCATAACCAAGCCAATGAATATTTATAGGAGATATATCTGATAACAAGCAGAAATGGAATTTTAAAGAAACTATAAAGTGTCTTCAATTGGAAAATCTCTTGTGTAACTGCTTTGAAAAAAACACTTTTTTTTCTTTTGCGAATTTCACATTAAAAAGAGAGAGGTGCATGAGGGAAAGAAATCACAGGCAGTATTCAGATCATACCATTAACATTTAGCATTTATTATGGGGGTATTGGGGAATATTTATTACATTAACCCACATTTATACGAAAAAAGCAATAAAAATTCTGACTGTTATTACGCTGGAATCATCTCCATTATATCCCACACATCCTTCAGCTTCTCAGCCAAAAATGAAGTTATTTACTCTGCTATGGATACTGATTCAGAAATAAGACTCACTTTGTTCAATGAGATTTACTCCCTAGTAAGCAAGTTTTCAGATTGGAGTCCAAGAGCTTATTGTAATATTTTCTTATATCTAAACCTAATGTGAAATAATGAGAGTGTATATTCTAGATCAGAGGTCTCCAACCTTTGGGCACCAAGGACCGGTTCCGTGGAGAGAGGTTTTTACACAGACCGGAGGGGGCGTGGTTTTGTGTGCTGCCTGCATCTCGCGGATGGGGCTTTGTTTGTTTGTGCGAACTGGTTGCTGGCATGCCGCAGCCCGGTACTAGTCCATGGACCGAGGGTTGGGGACCCCTGTTCTAGATCATCAAAAATTAGAAAAACTCCAGGAATGTTCTTGCCAACATGCTACTGGCTCCTTTAAAGCCTCCTTGTTTTTAGGTGGACATGAAAGCAGCAGCAAGGCAAGCAAGGGAAGGTTGAATACCCCATAAGATTTCAGAAACGAAGTAGGTAAATTGGAGGACACCAAATTTGGTGCAATGTTTAAAGATACTAGGCTGGAAACCAGAAGAATGAATTCTAACCCTATGTCAGCACCAATCCAGCTAGGCAACCTTTGGCCAATCATTATTTCTCTGCCCTAGGCAAGGGCTGAAAATGCTGCCAAGAAAACTGCAGGGATGTGAGGGCCAAGGCTTATTTTAAGGTGCAAGGGCACACCCAGAACTACATACACAAGAAGACTCTGATGTAGAAGCATCTGAATTCAGGCAATTTAAGCAGAACTTCCTTCTGGAAGTCAAGAAAAAATTTGCCCCAGTGACTTGGAGACTCAGAGAGCAGTTCAGTTTCTCATCACAATTGGCAAATTGCACAATGAAATTAAAAACCTTTTGCTTAACCTAGGGCCATTATATCAAAGTTTATACATATTATTTCTTTATGCAGGAGAGATCTGGTCCCAATTTATAATGGCATTTGGTTAAGCCAGTAAAAGATTTTTAATTTCACTGCCCATTTGCCAATTGTGATGAGAAACTGAACTGCTTTCTGAGTCTCCAGTCACTGGGGCAGATTTTTCTTGACTTCCAGAAGGAAATTCTGCTTAAATTGCCTGAATCCAGATGCTTCTACATCAGGATCTTCTTGTGCAGAGTTCCCCAACCTTTTGGTTGGTGGCCTGGAGGAGGGAAAGAGAGGATGGTTTTGTGGAACAAGCAGGCTTGCACGTGTGCGCGCGCATGAACACCGCTCGTGCGAGTGAGGCTGAGAGCACTCATGACACTCGCACAAGTGGAGCTGTGAGCTCCCAAGATGCTTGTGCGAGGTCTCGAGTGCTCACACGAGTGGGACCGCAAGCTGTTGTGACGCTCACATGAGTGAGGCACCAAGCGCCTGCGATACTCACGAGTGGGGCTTCGAGCACCTGCAACACTCACATGAGTAGAGCTGTGCGTGGGCACACACCAGCCAGCTACTCACGCGGCCCGGTTGTGAATAGGCCACAGACCGGTAATGGGCCGCGGCCCACAGGTTGGGGACCCCTGTTCTTGTGCCCATGCCTGTGGGTGTGCCCGTGTACCTTAAAATCAGTCTTGGCCCTGAGACTGCTTGAATATATATATATTTAAAATGAGAGTATAAAATAATGACCCTATCATAAGCTTTTCTAACTGAGCCATAATTAAAAAGAGTGAATGTGAAAATATGCTTCATGTATTTAAGTCTAAGGACTGAAATGGTGTGTTTTACTTCTTCCTGAATAGCATACTAAAGTATTTCAAAATGGAAAAAAATATTTTAGCCTAAAGGATTTCAAAATAAATCAGCAGCACTCCTGAGTGTCAGCTCTCACCCGCTGTCGAATTTAATGCATAATTAAATTGTAGAATGACTGCCAACTTGAATGGTTTAAAAGAAACTTAGGCAAACGTAATAACACTATTAAGAGCTGTAATCTGACATCAAAGATATTAAGCTTCTTAATACCTGTTGCTGGGAAACCCAAGTATAACAACTTGGTTGTGAGGCATCCATTAAGCTTATTGATATTGGCAAAACAAGACAGTTGGATTAGATAACAGTTATTTTTATGTTTACTGTATGATACAGTATGTGTGGCATTTGTATTTAAATTTAGCCTAAGGTGATTTCCTGTCTCTTCTATTAAACTCTCAATAGTTTTAGGGGTTCTCTAGAAATTCTCTTCAGTACAATTGGGATCAGAGACCCTGTTTTACAGTAGTGCCATTTCTTTCTGAGTCAGCCATTCCAATTATTGTTAGTGGGAGAAAACAGATTGAACCCTTAGACATCCCAATGTGAGGTATCTCAGAACCTGGCCCTTCCCACCACTTTCTTTAATATCTATCCACTCTGGAAAGTTGGTTCACTCCACACCAGGTTGGTTCACTCCACACCAAACAGGAGCTTCATGAAATAGTGCCTGAAATAGGCTTACAGTGATTCACAGTAAGATGGCGTGACTCTTTTGCAGAAGCCTTCTTGGTTCATCTTTAGCTCTGGATGAAACAGCGCTATTTCAGAAGATGAGCAACCTGGGATTTCCTGCCAGATACAATTAATGTTACTCAGCCTTGGCTGATATGCTAGTTGAAGCCTTTCCTGATCATCTCACATTTGGATTACCACAATTTCCTTCACATGAGACTGCCCTTAAAGAGAGCTGGGAAGCTACAATGACGTAAAATGCAACTGGACGCCTGCTGACTGGTGCCAACCGATACCGTAGAATAACATAAATATTGTAGGAACTGTATTGGATTACCACTAAGAGTCCAACCTTAATTCAATTGCTAGCTATTTCCTATAAAGGGCTTTAGTGACTTCAGGAATATCTGTTCCAGGTAAAATATGTACCTAATATGTACAGATCAAGATAACATGTTGGGGACCCTCCAGAAAGTTAGAGTAGCCCAGAAACAGCCCTTGTCAATCCTATCTCCCTTGCTTGGAAACAGCTTGCTCCTGAGGTTAAAATGCCCCCTTCCCAATTATGATTTAGGAAAGCTATGAAGACAGAACTTTTTCAGAAACCCTTTGGAGCAGAGGGTGTAATATGTCTGGTGGGCAATAGTTCAAATATCGGCAGGGTTATTTTGTGTTGATTCTTCCAATTTACACAGGAGAATGTGAATATCTTCATGTATCTCTTTCAGAAATCTGCAGAAATAACTACTTCCATATGTGCAAGTAGTGGATGCCAAGAACAGTTACCCATGAGAGCTTCCTTAAACATATATGCTCAAGTCAATTCTACTGCAACAGTGATTTCCTCATCTGCAACATATTGTCTTCAAAATGCTTGCTTTCTAGCCTAAAAATATTAACAAATGGCTTACTTAAAGAAGCCACATTTTGCAATGGTAATGTGTGGAGGTTAATCCACTTCAGAGTACCTGGTTTTCAATTGCTTTCCTGTTTTTAGGATCACTAACAATCAGGAGTTGGAGCTCAGCCATCTTTTTCATCTTGCTATCCATGTCAATCTTCTGGTTGAGGGCTTTAGTTTGATTTTTCAGCAATCTGACTGTATCTTCCTTCCCAAGTTTTTTTGCAAAGAGAGAAGCGGAAGCAGAATGTATTGCGGTAACCCAGTTTTCAAGGTCAGTCTGGCTTGTAGCCTAAAAAAAAAAAAGGGTAAAAAAAAAAAATCAAACAGAATGCTAAAATGCAACTTACCAAGTTTCACAACCAATGGACAACAGTGTGAGATCAATTCAGTGATGACAGCATGCAATTTCCCCCTTCAAACTAATGAAAGGCTTCTTTTATACTAATACTGCCTTGAAAAACTGGCAATTGTCATAGCTAATAATTCTTAGGCTTTATCTAAAAAGGAAGAACTTTGTATAAAAGATTGAATTCATCACAGGATGCTTGACTGCAAGGATGGCAATTACATAACCTACCATTAGCTTAATTTAAAAAAAAAAATACAAATGAATGGAAATTGTACTGAAAATAATTGCAAATGAAGAAGCAGGAAGACAACTTCCGTGACTGTCCAATAACAGTTTATGCCATCTCCTAAATTCTCTGTAATGTGCTAAAATGCTTTTTGTGTAAGAAAATGCAGGGGCTGCATAGGGTTGATTATAAAGAAGAATGCAGTCATTACAACATTAGAAACATTGCAATTCAGTCAACCTGTTTTCTTCCCGTCATTATGCTTGCCTTATTGGTTTAAACTTATTTCTTTTAAACTCTGAGGTAGCCCTCTGTCCCAGTAGCTTATCTGTGGAACAAAAAAACCTAAAGTATCTATATCAGAAGATATGTTGTCTTGCCAATTACAAGAAGCACAGATTGAATTCAACACAACAATGCTACTTTAAGTACTCTTATTTTCAGACAATGCATTTTTGACTGATAATACATAGTATTAAATGAAAATATTAGGCCAATATAGTAAAAAATGCTATAATACTATAACAATTTTCCTATAGAGGATGTAAAAAAACCTTTTTTTACTGCATTCTTAAAAGCAAGATTTCCACCAACTTTTATGCCTATTACAAATCCTGCCATTGCAGAATCTCAATTTTCTGGAAAAAAAAACCCATTATGTTCTATCTCAAAATATGCTCATCAAACCAGGATATAAAGAAGTACAGCTTAAAAACCTCTGAATGAATTTCTATAACATCTGATTTGTGTCTGATATCTATGTTCTAACTTACCTCCATATTTAATCTCAAAAATAAATTTATGTTTAAGGCTGAATCCTGACTAGAATTTAATTGAGTTGGATAGAAGTAATTATCAATGAACACAATGTAAGTTGGGCTTCTTTGTTGCTGAGATTCAAAAACAAATTATCTATGCACAGGACTACTATGAACCTAATTAGTACATGTAACAAACATGCGTAGAACCATAATTTCAAAAATATATTATTTCTTCTTGTTTACACCCCTTGAAGGGATATCTTCCCTATATAATATATTCTCCAAAAGATATCAGCCATAAGCAAGTTGCTCATAAGTATGCACAATTAATTTGGTTCAAATTCATAGCATTAGATCATTTAAGAATTCTTTAATTAAATGACTTCTTTCTTTACTAGGTAACTAACTTCTTTCTCTTAATTCTTATGTGACCAACTCCCAGAATTTCCCAGCCTGCCCAGCGATTTGTGAAAATGTTTAGAGCAGAAATTTAATATTGCTCAGGTTGGAAAAATATGGACAGAAATTTGAATGGAAAGCTATCAGTTCATAGCCAGGCCTATTTGGTATTAAATATCTATTTCCTCTGGGTTTTTTCTGGTTAGAGCTTTATCTTTTGATCCTACCCTGTGATTATTTTTGGGGGGGATTTCTTACTTTTGAATGAGTATACAATAAATATCTTATTGCAAATTACTAACTATAGCCCATCAGGAATCAACCAGTTGTAGCAGGATAAAATTAGATAAATAGACAGGTAAATATAGGTAGTCCTTGACTTATGACCATAATTGAGCCCAAAATTTCAGAAAGTCATAAAAGGTAATCACATGAAACTGTAACCGTCATAAATATGAACCAGTTGCCAAGCATCTGAATTTTGATCACAAGTCTATGGGAATGCTGCAAAAGTTGTAACTGTGAAAAATGGTCATAAGTGCCTTTTTTCAGTGCTGTTGTAACTTTGAATGGTCACTGAATGAACTGTTGTAACTCGAGGGCTATCTGTAGTACATAAATTCAATATTGTGGACATTTAACAGTTTGATAATGAACAAATTGGGTACGTCTAGTTTAATGAAGAGAAGGACGAGGGGGGACATGATAGCAGTGTTCCAATATCTCAGGGGCTGCCATAAAGAAGAGGGAGTCAAGCTATTCTCCAAAGCGCCTGAGGGCAGGAGAAGAAGCAACGGGTGGAAACTAATCAAGGAGAGAAGCAACCTAGAACTAAGGAGAAACTTCCTGACAGTGAGAACAATTAACCAGTGGAACAATCTGCCTCCAGAAGCGGTGAATGCTCCAACACTGGAAGTTTTTAAGAAGAGACTGGACAGCCATTTGTCTTAAATGGTATAGGGTTTCCTGCCTGAGCAGGGGGTTGGACTAGATGACCTTCAAGGTCCCTTCCAACTTTACTATTATTATTATTATTATTATTATTATTATTATTATTATTATTATTAAAGATATTATATAACAGGGAAATACCTGGAATAAGTAGACATCTCCAAAAGAGTTGCTGAGGCAGAAGACATTCTCTTTCTTTGGGTGTTCTGGGCAAGATTGCACTATGCAGTCTTCTCCAAACAGAGCATATCTGGGTGAATTATTTTGCTCCATGGAATTCTTCCCATAAGTCTCATAAAACAGCAGAGTGCACCCTTCACATAATAAAAAAGAAGTCCTGAATTATACCAACATCCTCTGAAATACAGATTTAATTTTGTATCAACTAATACAAAAATTAATGCAGAATAACTCTCCAATAAAAAGAGAAAATGGAAGCAATCCATCAGCTTGATTTATTTTTTGCCATTTGATGTGAGAGTTGAGGCTGCTGAACAGTTGTTTTTTGTTTAAGAATAAATACCAAAAATGATTCATTCACAGATGAAACATAATGATCTTCATGAGGCTGTTCCCCAAGATCAGATTATAACATACTGATTACAATCAGAAAATGCCTGGAACATAGTCCCTTGCTCAGATAAAATAGTTAACCAGCTCCAATGTTTTGTTTTGTTTTAAAAAAAACAACTTTCCATGTTAAAGGAATAATGTTGGTAGTGCTTTAAGCCTACAGATGCTTCAGAACACCAATAAATTTACTTTAACAGCTGACTAGATGGTTGCAATCTTTCCAGGCACTGATAAATTAAATACTGGTCAAGAAAAGTACAGAAGAACAGTACAGCATACACTTTTTAAGAATAGCATGAAGCTTGTGTACTATATACCATACATACACACTTATACAGTAAATGAGTCTCTTTTACATTATTAATACATTAATTCACTGGTGCTTGGTTGCAAGAGCTTGACACTGCACACAGATACACATAGACACACACACATATAAAGAGTAAAAAAAAGCTCATTATAGTTTGCAGAAGCATGGAAATGATATGATTTTAAAAAACAGAAGAAATGGATACTGAAGGTAGTGTCACCGTACTTCAGATTCAGAAAATCAGACATTAAATATTCCTGCATCAAAAAGTGAAGTTCTTGTAAGAGTTCCCTTTTAAGTACACAATAATTATCCCTAAAATTATAAATTTTAGTTCACAATTGATAAAATAAGCATCAGTAATATTTGCAACTAAATGAAATAAACTTGAATGTTATACAACAAGCTTATTTTTATCAAATGCCAAATCAAATGATACATAAAACACTTTATAAAGTAGTGAAATAATTTATACATGTAATAGGTATTTTTTTCAATTTCTGCAAAATTTCTAACTTTATGTTAATTTCAAAAAAAAACCCTGCTTTTAACATTTCCAGAAATTTGATGGCTCCATCTATGAGGCTGACATGATTTAGTAGTAAGAACTATCATAAGCCCCCATACAAGTATCAGGGAAACTGTGATTCTTAATAAAGATTTTGGCTGCACATAATTCATATTGAGGTTCATCAAGCTATAAAATAAGATCTAAGAAGACTCTTGTGTGGGAAGCTTTTGTAGAAATATGCTGAAATTTCCTGAAAACAAATCTGATCTATTCTTGCACTATAAAATTCAATAAAAAATTGGAAAAATACAGTTATTATTTCTTTCATTTCTACAATTGTCAGTAGGCCTGGCTGACCATTAAGCCTCTACATCCATATACTTAAATAGATGCAGAATAGAGCAGAATATATCTTAAATGTTTCAAGCATATCTTAAATGTTTCAAGCAAATCTTCCCCAAACGTATTCCTTTTCCAATTCATCCCAGCCTTGAAGCAGATGCTGCAACAGGATATACCAAATATACACAAAGATATACATCTTTTTTTAATGCTACATAATCATTGCCAGCTTACTCATTACACATATGAACTAAAAAATGAGGCTTTTAAGTCAGAATGGATAACTTTGAAGCCAACCAGCCAACTTAACTTTAAATAAGGAAGGAAGCTTTTATTATTTGAAGGTCCGTACTATATGGAAGCAGATATTCCCAAACTGCATATGACTGTCTTGGGAAACACTGGAGGCATGTCAGCAACACAGTCCATCATTGTGTTATACCCCCTTCATGCTATTCCTGGACACAAAAGGCAATT